AAAACTTCCAGAACACGGCCACACAGCCCGGAAGACCCACACCAGCCATCAAATTCATATTTCTTAAAATAATTTGTCCAGGGTTGCAGAAGGCATGGCAATGAAGCCTCCAGAAAGCCCTTTTAAAACATTTTTCTTGGTTTGAGGATGGGTTTTAAAGTTGCATTGGTGTGTCCAATACATCAGAATTAGGCATATGTTTTTATTAGTTTAAAAATGAAAATTTTTAGTGAAGTAAAAGTGAAAACTCAGTTCATTTAATGGCAGGGGGCAATCTCGAGTTTAGGACTGGAGGTACCATGCAGCTCATAGTTACCCACTCCTGAAATAAAGGCTCATATTAGAAGGTGCTCCTTAAGTCTCACTTGCCTGTGTTTCTGCTTTATGCAGATTCTTTTAAGTAAGAACAGGATTTGTTGCTGTAACTGAACCACATTATAATTTAGTGTCAATGTATGACTGACTGTAGTGTGAATTAGGGGTGGGATGGCATATTCTTGTAGAAGATTGCAGGTTCATGCCCTGGAATCTCAGAAGTGAAAGAATCAGGGGAATGAGTGATAGGAGAGAACTTCTCTGTGGGATCCAGGAGTTAAAAATAGTTTTGATGCTAGCATGGAGGCTGCCAAACACAGAAGGTAGGCAGATTGAATGGTTCAACAGGCCACCTTGTTACAACATTTGGATAAAGGAAGAGTGAGTCTTTCCTCCTGATATATGGCACCAAAATTGTTTGATTTGAAGTTAGGTACACTTAAATTCTGATACAAAAAATGAAAAGACAGCTTTTTTCTTTTTTTTTTGCATGCCCTGTGTCTTACTTTCTAGCATCCAATATATTCCCCTTACTGTCAACATGCATCAGCCAGTTTAAGATGAATCTAGTTTAGGCAATGTAAGTGTTTCTAAGGGAGCTCAGATAAAATTGCAAAATTATGTTTCTCAGTAGAGTCTCAAAGAAAACTACATGAGCAAAATTATGAATTTTTTTCTATTTGATTTCTTGTGAATGGTGAATAGCTGGAACTTGCCACGTCTACCTCATGCAATGATTTTGCTTTCCTTGGAACATCAATTTTTGAGCAATGAGTGTAAGAGAAATGTGTCAACTTCCTACATCATTTATGTTAGGAGGGTTGGCCAGGATCTGTGCAATCCCAACGTCCAGTTGGAGGTTTCCTAGGACCTCAAGATTGTGACACTGAATTTTGAAAGCATGACTTCAAATCCCATTTTACAGATGTTTGGATGGTTTTTAAGAGTGGGAATGGGAGTGGTCTGCCTCTGGCAAGCCACCTGCTACCACCCCCCCCACAACCCCAGCGGTCAAACACGGAGTGAAAATGCGCTGTGCTCCTGGTGACATCAAAGCATCATCAGGTTGCTTTCTGTGACCCTTCAGAAAGTTGGGAGGCTGCGTTGTGGCCCACAACCTTTCAAAGACTGCCTACCCCTGATTTAGATCATAGATTCCTTTTATTCTAAAACATATTGCTGCTGAGAACTATAGTAAATGCTTACCAAGATATTAATATTACACTGTTGATTCAACAAAGCAAAAATAAAGTATTGTTTGGGTACTGAAACGAATTTCTTCTACCTGGACTGCAGCAAAGAATCAGCCTTGGGTCCTGTACTGTACTGTATAAAGGAAGGGTGTTGCTACAAGCTGGCATTTTGTTCCAATTTCTGTGCAAACATTTGAAAACAATGGCATAATTCACAACTCTTTTTTCCAATGTGTGCTCGAGTATAATCCTCCTGCACCTGTAGTGTGTATTCCCTCACCCACAGAGGTCCATTTGGAAAAAATTAAAGAATGATAGTCCCTTTAATTTTATGCATCTTTTAAAGTTTCTTACATTTTTGACTGTTACTTTGTATTCATACCTAGACACAGCAAGAAGGTATGATATATATTATTTATATGCAGGTGGCAAATACTTCTGAGACTGAGTACTGCTACTGAACAGTTAAGGAGCTAGTAAGCACATGAGTGATCCACAATTTATGGCCATTAGTGGCTTTATTACATTCAGAGCTGCACATGCATTTCTTGGGACCCTGCAGGAAGTGTTGCTGGGGATAATATACAGCTGGAATGGACAGGCCAACGTTTTCCGTTCTGCCAGTAGAAAGAATATTTGCTTTATTCTTTCACCCTGAGCAAACAATGAGAGGCGCAAAGAAAAGAAGCAGTAAGCTTTTGATCTCTCCCCCAAAGGTGGTGCCCACTGTGGCAAAAAAAGACAAGATGGAGCAAAGCTGACTAAGAATTCTTCTGCATGAGTTTCATAAAGATGTTTAAAAACAGCAGTGAGTGTAGACTAGTATAGATGATTAGCTCAACACCCCAGGCCCGACCAATTTCATGTACATAGTATTTTTTTTATTATTACTATACATCACTGAGTTCAACTCTTTCCACTGCACAACTCTGCCATTTAGTGGGAGGTGTCCATTTTAACACAAACTAAGGGATGCAAATGTTCATAGCTCATTCCCATTGGGCTCTGTTCTGAGTTACTAATGCTACTTCTCCAAAGGTGCATAGTTCAGCAGCTTCTCAATCAAATCCACGTGGGACAGAAGCATCCGACGACAGCAGTAGCGCTTCAGGCCAAGAGCGTCCAATGCATCTCTGGGGAAATCAATGGAAAAATAAGTAGAAATGATGTATCTCATCTTTGCGCAGGGCAATTTGGGTGAATCTCTTTCCGCTGCGTAAGGCTGCCAACTTCTCTATTGCTAGCCTGCAGCCTAATTCAGGAACATCAAAAGGTGAGGAATGCCAATCTCTAGGCTACTACAAGTAGTCCCCAGTTTAAGAACGAGTTCCATTCCCAAGGTCTGTCGAATTTGCATGTAAGCTGGAACAGTATTATTATATAAAACTCTATAAGTAGCATTGTGTAATGAACTCGAATCATTGTATATTTAACTTGAATTTTGCTACAATAGGCTTTGTTCTTAACTATGGGTCATCTGTAAACAGGGTGTTCTTAACCTGGGGACTAACTTGTACAAAAGTTTACTTCCTGATTCCTGCACATTCAGTTAATGGACTCACACTGGTTCCTGAGGGTTTCCACATTTTTTGTTAAGTATGGTTGACGTGCAGCTTGTGACCTTTCTTGGATAGATACGCCAGATCCTTATAACGTTTTACATGATGTGCAAGTGTGTTCAGAATGCAGTGGAAAAAATCAGCACCATCCTCCAATACTATACTACTTTGGCATTAAGGTATCTCCATAAACTCTTAGACTGTTCCTGGGATAAATGCAAAGTGCAAGTATTGTTAAGCCCTAAAAACTGAAGGGCCTCTTTTTATATAAACCTTCAAATGAGCTCCACATCAGATCTTGTCCATCTACCTCTATCTTCTAGAATCATTTTTTACAGCCAACAAAACCCTTTTTCTTGGTTGTGCTCAAATGATTAAAACTCTCCCTAGACCATTGCCGTCTTTAGTGTTAATTTTTAAAATGTCCTAATTATGCTTCGATTCCTCCCATGATCCAACCGTTTCTGGGGATATCTCTTTAATGCATACAACAAAACTGTGAGGTAGGCTAGAGTGAAACTGACTGAGCCATGACAACTTTGAGTATGCTACCATACATAATATTGGTGCAGATAATATGCATCTTTTACAGCTTTTGTTGTTGTTTAGTTGTTAGATACCATTTATTTATATATTTTACAATATTCATAATTGGATCCACCCCAAAATAAATTCTGGGCAGGGTACAACAAAGACAGAAACTAGAAAGTCACACACAGATAGCATGGCTGGCTGGGGAATTCTGGGAGTTGAAATCCACTCACCTTAAAGTGGCCAAGTTTGGACAACACTGATCTAGAGGATGGGGTATAATTCAACAAATCCAGACAGCATCACTTTGGGAAACATTAATATATGCACCGAGTCTGATGCTGATATTGCTGATGCACAATGGATAATTGAGAAAGACAAACAGTATCAAAGAAGTCTTTGGTTTTAGAAAGGCTTTTGATTGGGTTGATTATGTCAAGCTGTGGAACGTGCTTAGAAAAATGGGAATCCCAGAACATCTCATTGTCCTCATGGAAACCAATACGCAGGTCAGAACATGATGCAATGAGTGGCTCCAGATTAGCAAAGGAGTGAGATAAGGCTGTATACAATCCCCTTCTTTATTCAACCTAAACTGTATGCCGAATACATACTGAGGGAAGCTGGACTGAAATAAAATGAGTATGGTTTTAAAACTGGAAGAAGGGACATGAATAACCTGTACTACACTGATGACACTACTCTGATAGCAGAAAATGCAAATGATCTGCAAATTGTAGTACAGTAATGGAAATCAAGGAACACAGTGAAGAAATAGGACTCAAATATAGACCAAACTAATGGAAACGGGTTCAGCAAACCACCTTAGAACTGACAATGAAGCTAATTAAATGGTGGACAGCTTCTGCCTTTTAGGATCAACTATCAATGGTAAAGGAACCAGAGATCAAGAAATATACCACCGAGAAAGTAGCCATGGTAGAGTAGCCATGAAGGCCTCAGAAAAAATATTGAGATGCTGTGATATGTCTGTACTTACAAAGATCAGAATAGCACAAGCCCTGTGGCACACTGTGGCAGTGTTTCTCAACCTTGGCCGGTTGAAGATGTGTGGCTACCACGGTTGAGAGACACTGTTCTATGGAAATGAAAGTTGGACTTCTGTGAAGCGGGATAGAAAGAGTATTGATGTTTATGAACTTTGGTATTGGAAGAGACTCCTGAGTATACCATGGAAAGCCAAGGAAACAAACAAATGGATTGTCAAATCAAGTTCTCACTGGAGACACAAGTTACTAGGCTCAAATTATCATACTTTGGACACATTCTGTGAAGACTTAGGTCTCTGGAGAAGGTTCTAATGCTGGGAAAGATGGAAGGAAAGAGAAGAGGACGACCAGTAACAAAGTTGATGGACTCAATTACAGAGGCAATGGGTGCGCTATTGGAAGACTTGAAGGACCAGACTGGGACAGATCCTGCTGGAGAAAATCTATCAGTGTGGTTGCTAAGAGTCAACACCAACTTGACAGCACATCATCAATTTTTTTTTTTTTTTTGTGCGCTCCCTCATTGCTGACCTTGCGGTGATTGCTGAG